CTCACGTGTCTCAAGTTGTCCCCTGTCCAGAAGCAGCCTTCTGGGTGAGTTTGGAAGGTGTGCACAGGGCAGGTGTATTGAACTGTCCTCCCCAGCCCTGTGCCAGGGGAGCCCTCTCTCTATCCAAAGCAATCCCCCCACCCCCAACAGATCTTTCCCTTTCCATAGCCTGCCCTCTAGGGGACTCTGGAGTACAGGAAACTCTGAGGTGAACCCTTGGGCTTAGTGGGCAGCCCTCCTTTGACTTCGCTTCATTCGCTAATGAGCTGTGGTTTGATCCAATGCCTCAATTCACTAACAGCCAAGGAAGCTGAAGAAGTGAATAATAAAAACAGACATTCAGAGCCTCTTTAAATATTCAAGCAGGTTAAAATATGTATGGAAGAGCAGAGAGGCAGGGATGGAGCCCCCTCCAGCAGGAAAGCAGGGCAAGCAGGGGATGGAGCCCCACCCCCCAGGAGGAGACAAGGGCTATCTGCACCATCACAGACCTGGATCCCACTCCAGAGTTATAGCGGCCCCTGGCATCTGCACCATCACAGACCTGGATCCCACTCCAGAGTTATAGCGGCCCCTCCCACCACCCAGAGCCCCGAAGCCAGCACTCATCTTCTCCATATTGATAAATCTGTTGTTTGGACAAGGTTACATCAATAACATCACTTGGGTGTGTGACCTTTTGAGGTAGGCTTTTGTTTTGGTTTGGTTTCCCTTTTCACTTAGGCTTGGGGATGTATTTAGATTGCTATCTTGTTTCTTTTTTATTGCTGGGTAGTATTCAGTAGTATGGACAAACTCCCATCCATTTAACCATTCATGTACCTGTTGAGATTATCTCTAGTTGGGGGTCGTTACAGAAAACTGCTCATTTCTGGTTGCTGTCTATTGCTGTGATAAACACCATGACCAAAAGCAACTTGAGGAAAGGATTTATTTGGCTTGCATGTTCTGATAGCAATTCAGCCATGAGGGATGCCAACTCAGGAACTCAAGGCAGGGGCTGAAGCAGAGGTCACAGAGGAACGTGGCTTCCTGGCTTGCTCAGTTAGCTTTCTTAAACACCCCCAGGACCACCTGCCCAGGGGTGGCACCATCCTCAACGTGCTGACCCCTCCCACATCAACCGTCAACCAAGAGATGCCTCCCAGGCTTGCCCAAAGGCCAGTCTGATGGAGGCATTTCCTTAATTGAGGCTTCTCTTACAAAACGGTTCCAGATTGCACCAAATTTACAAAACTTCCAACCAGTTTCTGAGGGGTCATGAATGCCTGGGGATGTGATGACAGGGTCACATAGCGATGTTTGTTTGGTACCTAGAGACACACTTGTCCAAAGCTGCTGTGCAGTTTCCATCTCCATCAGCAATGTAGGGGGAGATGGTTTCGCACCCCACTTCAGCAGTGAGTGCTCTCCCAGGTTAGCTATAGCGTTTCTAGAAAGTTCACCTAGTCGTAGAACAAATGTGACCAATTTAAAAATAGCCTTCCCATCCTCGGGGTCAGTTCTTTTACACTTATATCTCCAGGGCCAGCTCTGCTGTGTCCCCAGCCCGGGTGTAGGGGCCACCCTCCTGAGTGCTGCAGCTGATGAGGCCAGCTCTCCCAGTGGCAAGCACTTTTACCTGCTGGGCCATTTCACTGCCCTGGGGATCTCTCTTTTTTTTTTTGGACCCGACCATAAGGCACAGGCTTGGAGGACAGACAGATCTGGGCCTGGACTTCTTTCAGCCATTTCCTGGCTGTGTGGCTTTAAGCTTATGTTCCCCATTGTAAACTATGTACCTCTCTGGGTTCTTGTGATGCTGAACAAGAAAAGGCATCCAAACGCCTGGCACACAACGCTAAGTAAATAACACCGTGATCATTGTTATGGTCTCATAGACTGAGGATGAGAGAGGTTCTCAGGAGTTTGGGGGGGGTGGGCACCTATGGAGACTGAAAGCTGTTTGGAAAAGGGAACTAATGAGAATCATTATTATACAGGGAGAAATGGAGTGGCATTTGATATAAAAATAATTGTCCACCTACTGTCCTTGGCCTTGTTCAAATGGAAGTCATCCAGGGTTAAGAGAGCATGCCACTAATACAGAACCCAGCCCACATGAGACTCACAACTGCCTGTAACTCCAGTTCCAGGGGCTTCAACACCCAGCAAGTACACACACACACACACACACACACACACACACACACACGCACACACGTAAAAATAAAAATTCAAAAAGTCACCCCACTGAATAAAGTTGAACCAGTGAGGCTTTAGTGGATGAAAGGCTTTCTGCCAAGTCTGACCCCTGTGCATTTGATCCTGGGACCCACATGGTGGAAAAAAAAATCAGTTCCTCCAAGTTTTCCTCTGACCCCCACTTGTGTGCCATGGCATAGGCACACCCCCCCAAACTAATAAATGTAATTTAAAAAAAAAAACTTTTTTTTTTCCGAGACAGGGTTTCCCTGTGGCTTTGGAGGCTGTCCTGGAACTAGCTCTTGTAGACCAGGCTGGGCTCGAACTCACAGAGATCCTCCTGCCTCTGCCTCCCGAGTGCTGGGATTAAAGGTGTGTGCCACCACTGCCGGCCAAAAAAAAATCTTACAATCAATAATTTTGTTTGCTTAGGTCAGTTCTAAAGGACGAGGAACCCCCTCACCAAGACTTCTTTTCATTGGTAAACCCAACCTCATATTGGGCGTAGATGTCATTGTATTTTGACATTACAGTTCCTGATGATGAAAGGGAGTTGAGTACTTAAAATCATAGAAAGTAGCCAGGAGTGGTGGCATGGACCTTCATACCCAGCACTTGGGAAGCAGAGGCAGTTAAATTTCTATGAGTTCAAGGCCAGCTTGGTCTACATAGCAAGTACCAGCCCAGTGAAGGGCTACATAGTAAGACTGTCTCAAAAATGAAAACAAAACTAAACAAAGTACAAGGGGAAAAATCAAATATAATCATATGGCATAGATACAGCTAGTTTCTGGGGCTTGCCTTCCAGACTTTTCTCTACCCCCTGCACAGATTTAGGCTCTCTTGTGGGAACAGGAAGTCCACCTTAGCCAGCCTGGTCTCCACTGTTAATACCACACATTCATTCCATAAATATTTACCTGGTGTGTCAGCGCCTAAGGCAGAGTCACAAGGTCCTGTAATCAGGAAGCAGATACAGGCCATGAGTGCCCACAGATGTGCTAAGAGTCAAATGTCAGCATCAGGGCTCGAAAGGGAAGGCCAGCAAAGGTCAAGGAGGACTCAACCACCCAAGGGAGCGAGCGAGGGAGGGAATTGCAAAGGCCCTGAGGTGTGAGGCCATGTGGTGAGCCCAGACCACTGAAAGAAGAGCTGTGGTCATCAGAAGACTGGGAAGGGGTGGAGAGTCAGGTGGGACTCCTGTGTGGCTGTTAGGAGTCTGGTCCAGATGGGAGAGCAAGGGGAGAAAGGCACTGAAGGACTCCCGGCAAGGGAGGGGAGCCAATTTCAAAATGGCCACTCTGGCTGTGGTGTGGTTAGATCCACTCCCTGACTTAACCCAGCTCAGTGCTAAACCCTCCTGAGGTGTAATTTGTACAATTTAATATTGGAGGTGGTTACTGACTGCTTCTCTGTCTCTGTCTGTCTGTCTGTCTCTCTCTCCTGTGTCTCTGTCTCTGTGTGTCTCTGTGTCTCTGTCTCTCTCCCTCTCTCTGACTGTGTGACTGCCTGCAGAGGCCAGAGGAGGGTGTGGGAGCCCTTGGAGCTGAGTTACAGCAGGTTTCGAGCCCCCTGATGTGGGTGCAGCTAATGAATTTCAGAGCTCTTCCAAAGAGCAGCCAGCCCCCTTAACCACGGAGCCATCTCTTCTGGCCAACTTTGATTTTGAGACAGCTCTGAACCTGGAGCTCAAAGCCTGGGTTTCTGGGATCCGCTTGTCTTCACAA